CTCCCTCCCTCCCTCCCGCCTCAGATTTTCCAGCCTGTGGTCTGAATCTCATCACTGGCTCCTTTTCAAAACAGGCTCACAAACATCATGATTGATTCAGCCACTATCCTCCAGGATCTCTCAATGCCTGCCTGGGCTGGAGATTAATTTCCTTTTCCTCATCTTAATTTTTACTCATCGCCTCTCCATAAAAAGGCTAAATGTCAAGCATGCCTGACTCCTTCTAGTGACACGTCTATTCCAGCAGATAATTACCATAAGGAAATAGATGCTTTAGTGTGCAGAGGGGAATTTAATTTACTCTGACATCCTCACAGCATAATGCATTCCTAAAGAAAGAGAGTTTTTCAGTTTGCAATTGACTTTTTAGATAAATTGGACTATTTAATGTGATTATCAGCCTTGAACGTCTTTGACTTATTAAGGTGTTGAAACCAATTAAGGGTTACATGCTGCTCATGCTTCCAAATGTGAAACAGTGAATACTGCTTAAAGATCCATGAAATAAGAACCAGCCGGAGCCTTTTGTTCGGTAGTCGACCGGCTACATTGCCTGATGATGTTTTGAGACTTGCCAGGTAATGATATTAATTACAGCAACATGGCTTGCTTCAGGTTGTGGATTAACCTGAAGGAGCAGAGGGTTATGTTTAGTTTGATTTGCAGCCGTGGATTACAGCCGCGTACATGTAGTATAATCCTAAAATGCTGCAAAATTAAGTAATCTTATAAAACCTTGAAGCCTTCTGTGGAAACATGCTTCAGTTTGTAGGTTTTTGTACAAGTCAAACATCAGGATGATGATCGGCAACTCAGCCAGCTTTGAGTATTGATCCCACCTCTGCAGTAACTTCTCTAAAACCTTGGCTGAATCATTGTCCTAACAGTATTTTGCCTCTCAGCCACAGCCACACAGAGCAAAGCTGCTGTGTCACTGGGACGGGACAGTATCTCTGGTTCATGGAAGGCCACAGTCACAATCGGACCCCTCTGCGCTCGCTGATAGCACTGAGTCACATTTCAGTCCCAGCATTCCCTCTGCGTGGCCTCTGGAGTCGCTCATCCTGCAGCCTTCTCATACCTGGATGCGTCCAAAAGCTGCAGCCTCTTCTGACCTTGCAGACAAAGCAGCGCCGGCCCTTGTAGCTTTGAGGAAGTCAGCGAGCATTGCTGCAATCCGTAGTATGGCCGTGAAGACACAGCAGGCCACAGTGCTCCTGCTCAAAGTTCCTCCTTTTGCAACCAACTGCCTGAATGTTGTGCTTCTTAGGAGATAAGGGCAGCCTCCCACGAAAGGTGACTCAGCAATCCAGCACACACGACCTCTCCTGAGATAAGAGTGCTCTGTGGGGCCTGAGGACAGCGGGATACTGGGAAGAAAAAAAGTCACAAGTAGAGAAAACAGTGGAAGTTAAATTCACTGTAACCACCACTTATTCAAGTATAAACTTTTGCAACCTAATCAGCTGTGAATATACAGCTCTGGAAGGGGGAAAAAGGAGCTGTATTTTAATAGTATAAGCTTTGAGTAGATCAGTAATTTGAAACACAGTAATTACAGGAAAGATCCACTCCACCAATTATTCATATTAGATAATACTGACAGCACATATCTGGAAATGAGAGGTGAGTTATTTTAGCCCAACCAGAAGTGTAACTCATCATTTATTTAGAATTTCCATCAATATTAATCCTCAATACATAGGCACCCATCACTCTGTGGCTTTACACGACTGACACTTATAATTGGCATTAGGAGAAAATTGGAAAGTAGTTATTAAACATCTGAAAAGGGGGTCTGTATTGTGAGACGTGGCTGCTGCTGTGCTGTAGTTGAGTGCACTGTCCTTATATGTTATGTTCATACTATCAGCATGAATGATAACAGAAGGGAGGGAGATTAAGTAGTGCAGTCCATACTGTTGACAGCAGGCAGTGGTGACGGTTTACTAATTTACATTTGATGTTGTGTATCTCAGTTTCAAGTCACTTCCAAGCAGTCCTGGGTTTGGATGATTGACTTTACAGCAACATTTCGAATGTTTAAAGTTAAAAAAAGAGTCTCATACTGGAAGCATGAAGCTAAAATATCTCTGATGGGTTGGAACTAACAGGGCCAGTTGCATAATGTTAGGGAGAACCACATTTCAGTGAATGCAATGCATATCTGCATGATGATCTTCTGCAGGACTGAGCCAGTAACGGGAAGATGCACTCTGTACATACATCTTAAAACAGAAAGTAACAAAGGCTTAAAATTGTGAAAAAAAACGAAAACAATTTGCTCAGGGTTGAGACATAATCTGGATTCTAGACACTTTGCTGATGTGATGAGGTGGGACAGGAAGCTTCGACACTAAGAGGACAATCACTGGAGAGAAAGAGCAAAGTCAAATGGATGAAACATTAAAGAGAGAGAAAGAAAAACCTCATTATATGGGAAAGAAAACAGTTGTGTTAATTTCATGGACTGCTTCAGCAGTGCCAGAACAGGTGACAGAAGGTGTCCAATATGCAAGTGAGGACCCCCCCCTCCACACACACACA